CTGCAGAAGATCTTTTCTTTTGTCATTTTGTAACTGGCCTAACAAACACATTTTATGTTTTATTGAAATAATTCCTATACCATTGTTATTAAGTTTTGGTTTGCTTAGAAAAAACTGAGATTAAAAATTTTTTCAAGTTAAAGTTATCACATTCATATAACTCTCTGTATTTTGCTTTTAAAGTCCTTGTGTCATTAAGTTACAGAGCTTTGACTTCTGGGTCTAAACAGGACACCAAGTCCTCTTCAGTCTTAAACCCTGACAGCAGTTAAAACCTCATCTTCAGATCCGGTAGAAGATGCCAACCAAAATAAACTGTGTTTGTAAGACACAGGGCCAGAAATTAAAACTATCCAACTCCTCAAGACCCACAGACTATTGTGGAAGAGGTGGGCATGAGATTGTAAGGGCCAATGTTGAGAGAGAAAATTAGTTCAGTTTCTCTATAAATTAACCATTAATACCAAATGACACTGATGCAAGACCAGCCTATGAGCCCCTGTGTCAGATGAACATGATTTTTTTGGAGCATTAACTCACTCCTTAATAAAAGGTTATAAAAGTTATGAAAAGGTTTATGGAAATTATATCTTATGGTCAAGATAATTAAAATTTAATAAATTTACTTACAGAATTTTAAAAGATACATTTAATTGGCCTCATGCTGTCTTTATTAGGGCTTGTTGTTTGGGAAGTTAAATCTCTCTCAGTAAAGGTTTTTGCTTTTTTTAAAAAAAAATCATTGAGTTATCACTTTGGCTAAATGATTGGCTTATTTTACAACAACTTGTGATCCTATTTTGTGATGTGAAGTGTTCTAAACTTTTTATATTTGACAGACTTCCAAAATCAAATTTTAACTTTAGTCCTCATTAATCTTTTGATATTAGATCCCTTGAAGTCCAAAAGAGACATATTAAGCTTATTTGATGTAATAAAATCATACAGGAAGTAGTGTCAAAGATGAAATGGGGTTTAACCTTCTTCGGATTATATTTATATAAATGTGTTATTAGTATGTGTTCCAGAATTGTATGAGATTCCTGTGATTCTAATATGTCTTAGTAAATGTTGTTAGTAGTAATGGTGATTCTGATCTAAAATTGTATGCCACAGAAATAATCCAGTTTCCTTGTCATTTGTGTCTTTAACCATGACTTTCCTCATCTAGTTGTTTCACTTTTATTCTTTTCAAAAGGTGTTTTTTATAATCAGCTATAGGACTCTGACAGTTGTTCTTGAATGCAGGTTTCTGATGACTTTGGAGACTGTGACACTAGAATAGAGGAAAAACTTGCAAGACTTCCATAGAAAGCTAATGTGTTCATAAACATCAAGTAGAACATGAGTTAATTACATAGACTAATAAAAGACTGAAATAATTTTTTTATGACTTTGTTTGAAATGTTGCTAATTCTTTTGTTTCTGCATCCAGAAAACCCGTTTTCTTTGAGTTATTTACAGCTTTTAATAATTGGGTCAGCTACACTCCTGTGAGCAAAATCTGAAGCATATATCTCTCTACCTGATTTCTCCAGAATTTGAAAACTATTTGCAAGTGTATTTAATTTATAGCAGTATAGTTAGTTGCGTAAGTTCAATAAGAATCTTTTTCTTTGTAATAGGACACAATTGGAGACATTGGTTATTTTACCAGGGCTTTCATTGGAATGGCATGCTTTTAGATATAACCAGATTGCTTTAAGGAATGGAGGTTGACTTGTAGAGCCAAATAAAACCCTTTGGGAAAGCTGGACTTATACTTTGTCTACACAGTCCCTGTATAGGTTCCTGACCTGCAGTAAGTAAAGAATGTCACTTTCTGACAGACCCAGGAGCCCTGTTTTCTTGGGCCCTTGAGGTGAGGAATTCACCCAATACAGGTATTTGCAGGCACAGGCTGGGCTCAAAGCATGTAACTGTAATCTGAGATTCCTTGTGAAATAAAGTTCCAGTAAAGCCAATTAAAAAGAAAAGAGCCTATATGGCAATTTTTTTTTTCTGACTTTATGCAAATACTCAGGCCAAGTATAGTAAGACCAACACTTATTTTACACATAAATTTGTCTTGTGATTTATCTTTAATGAAAATGAGGACTGGAGAGAGAAAAATTATGTTTCAAAATAAACTGGACTACACTTGTTATTAGATTCTAGTCTTATCTAATGTTTTTCCATTTTTATTATTTTCTATAGTTTGGACTGAATTCTAAAATTTTTCCTGGCTACACGTCTCCAAAGTAATGTTTTTAATTGTTTTTTTTTCTTTCTTTCTTTCCTGTCCTATTTTCCCTCCATTTTTTTCTTGATTTAAAATCCCTGAAAATGAAGCTGTGCTTTCTTAAAGCCTTGCAAACTGAAGCTAGACAATGTAAGCTTCAGAAGAAAATAACAGCAAGTTATTTACATACATAAACCACTTTCATACCTGCCTATTGATGTATGGACTTCAGAGTAACATGGCCTATATCAATTTTCCAGGATTCTTCTTCATCTTTTTTGTTTGTTTTTTTCTCTTCCTCATCCTGTTTTCTCTTCATAGGATATGAGATTTTACAACCTACTAAAAATGATCTTTCCTAATAACCTGGCACCTGCCTTTCTAGGAGTAAACTGTCCTAGCCATGAGAGAGCAGATAAAACCTGAGACCAGAGGCTCATTCATGTTCTTATAAAATGCTTTTTCTGAAAGATGTGAAAGCAAAATAAATCTCAGAACCCCAAAATCACAAAGCCAAAGGGAAAAGTCAAGCTGGGAACTGCATCAGGCAAACCTGCCTCACATTTTATTTTTAAATAAGATAGCTACAAAGATAAAAAAAGCCACATACCTGCCTCACAATTTGCCCACAAGGAAATTCCTTGTGGACATAGGACAGACACAACTCAAAGTCATCCCTCTGCTCACCTGAGACAAATGCATATGTTATTAGTTCCTCTGCCCTGTTGTTTCACTAAGCCAGACTAAGGTGTAAATGACTTTTCTTTTATCCTCCTCTCACATGTAAATTGTGTATTCAGTGAAAAGCTAATCAGAGACTCAAAATAATGCAACCAGTTGTCTCTTTATCTACCTATGACCTAGAAGCCCCTTCCCCCACTTGGAGTTGTCCAGCCTTTCCAGACCAAACCAATGTTCATCTTACACATACTGATTGACGTCTCATGTCTCTCCTGTCTCCCTAACGTGTTTGAAACCAAGCTGTACCCAGACCACCTTGGGCAGATGTGGTCATAATTTCCTGAGGCTGTGTCATGGGCACATTCTAAATTGATTGAGATCTGTCTCAGATACTTTTTGGTTCATACCCTTTATACTTCTAAATGTTGTTAGGAGCCCTTGGCTTAGGTTGAAAGAAAATACAGTGATTCTTAGGAAGCAGGTTAACTGAATAGTTAGGATGGAATTGTTAGGAATGGGGATGGGGATGAAAATTCATGATCTCAAAGTTAGGAACTAATACCAGGTATTTGAGCCATGAAGAGACACCCTTATGTGTTCTTTTTAACATGGCTAAAATTAGACTCTTGAGCTCTAGACCTTCCTCACCTCAGCAGAACAAATCAGTTTCTCCCCAAGACTTCTCATTTCATTAAATGGTGCCCCTATCAATTTGTGTAGCGCCCCAAATCCAGGAGTAATTTTTAATTTTCCCAACTTCCCTTCTCCCCATCCATGATATATACAAAACAAATCCCAATCTCTGAGTGTTTCTCTTCTGCCACTACTCTGAGCTCTCCTCAGTTCTCACCTAGACCACACCTGGGCCTCATTGGACTCCATACGTGTGTTCCTGCCACCATGCACTGCATTCTGTGCACACCACAGGAGAGGCAGCTCCTCCCCTGGCCTCTGTACACTCCAAGGTAAAGTCTGGCCATGGCACCTGCCCATCACTCTAGTCTTATCTTGCACTGCTACTTGCTGGCAGTGCTTCATACTTCTTGCTTGTGCCAGTGCTAATTCCTGCCTCAGGCCCTGTGCGCTAGCTCAGCATTTCCAACCTTTTTGGCACCAGGGACCTGTTTTGTGGAAGACAGTTTTTCCGCAGACAATCATGAGGTTGGAGTAGTTTTAGGATGATTCAGACACATCACATTTATTGTGCACTTTGTTTCTATTATTATTACATTGTCATATATAATGAAATAATTATGCAACTCACCATAATGTAGAATCAGTAGGAGCCCTGAGCTTGTTTTCTTGCAACTAGATCATCCCATCTGGGTTGATGGGAAACAGTGACAGGCTATCAGGCATTAGATTATTATAAGGAAAAAACAACCTAGATCTCCTGCATGCACAATTCACAATAGGGTTCACGCTCCTATGAGAATCTAATGCCACTGCTGATCTGACAGAAGGTAGAGCTTAGGCAGTAATGTGAACCATGGGGAGCGGCTGTAAATACAGATGAAACTTTGCTCACTCACCTGCTTCTCACCTCCTGCTATGTGGCCCAGTCCCTAATAGGCCACAGATGGGTACTGGTCCATGGCCCAGTGGTTGGGGACCACTGTGCTAGCTGACATCTCCTACCTAGAATACTCCTTTTCCCCACTTCTTTACCCGCTCTGTCCAACCCACTGGTTCTTGTCTGTCAGTGTGACTTCATCTCAAACCACCCCTCTCAGAGACTCCTTCCCTGCCCTCTCAGTAGGAAGTAGCCATGGAGTCATTCCCTGCCACATCACTCCACCTTATCTTTGGAGAGTAATTGTTAAGTTTTGATACCTGGCTTTATTGTTGGGTGGCTTGCCTGTCTCTCTCCCTAGCATGTAAACGTCTGAGAGCAGGGACCTGGTCTGTCTTGGTTGCTGTTTCCCCAATAGCCGGAATGGTGCTGATTGAGATGGGAGCACAGTGAATACCTCCCACTGGGAAGTGCACTGATGGCTTCTGACCGTGGAAACCATCAACAGTGCCAGTATTGTTGGGACTTCCTTCCTGCTCCCACCATTTCCCCGGGCTCTAACTGCTGCCTTCCATTGCCTTGCAGCCGCCCGTGCCAACTTCCGTTCCCGTCAACCATGCAGCAGCACAGCCCCATGTCCTCCCAGACCTCCTCCGCCAGCGGGCCACTGCACTCTGTCTCCCTGCCGCTTCCACTCCCGATGGCCCTGGGCGCTCCACAGCCCCCGCCCGCCGCTTCCCCCAGCCAGCAGCTCGGTCCAGATGCCTTTGCGATTGTGGAGCGAGCCCAGCAAATGGTGGAAATATTAACAGAGGAGAACCGGGTGCTTCACCAGGAACTTCAGGGTTACTATGACAATGCCGACAAGCTCCACAAGGTACGTGACTTCCCTGGGGAATGGGAGGGAGACAAAATTCTTTACCTGGTCACGGGGAGTTGATGCACTGACTGACTTGCCAACATTGCACTGGATCCCTTTTTATACTAGACCCTTTGCAAGGCTTTAGGGAGATGAAAATAAATATGACCCAGTTCCGACCTTGGAGGAGCTTACATTCCAAAAAGCGGAGAGAGTTGCATATGCTAACACCCTCAGTAAGAGTGTGAAGGGTCTACTGTAGGAACAGCAGAGGTGGCTCTTGACCAGAGACTCTGAGGCTAAGTAGGATTACCCCACCTGGACAAATGTAGAAGAGGGAACACGGGAGTAAATAACACGGAGGAGGCCGGGCACGGTGGTCCATGCCTGTAATCCCAGCACTTTGTGAGGCTAAGGCAGGTGGATCGCTTGAGCCCAGGAGTTTGAGACCAGCCTGGGCAACATGCCAAGACCCGGTCTCTACAAAAATTAGCCAGTCATGGTGGCCCATGCCTTGTAATCTCAGCTACTTGGGAGATCACATGAGCTGGGGCGGCATAGGTTGCAGTGAGTTGAGATCGCTCCACTGCACTCCAGCCTGGGTGACAGAGTGAGACCCTGTCTCAAAAATAAAAAATAAGTAAAACCACAGAGAAATGAAGTGAGAGATACCAAATTTTCCTTTACATTTAGGAATCTCAGACAGGAACCTTGTGTTGTCATGTTCATTTCATTAGCTGGTCTTTGCAAAAAGCAGTCTTGCCTCAACATGAGAGGGTCAAGAGTACGAGTTATTGTGTGCTTTCTGCACGTTTGTGACTTACCAGGTGGGGAGATGCTGAGTAATTCCAGCCTGTGTAGTTACTGTTGGAATATTTAAATGTATGGTAGCCATTATTCTTAGAGATTTATGCTGAGAGCCAAAGTAAATAGGGGAACATCCAGCAAGAACAAGCTGTTGCTGGGCAGTGATTTCATGATGACCCTCAAGTCAGCATCTGATGTGCTGCAGGTAGGATGCAAGGGGATTGGGCAAAGGTAATAGGATGTTTTAGGGCAGGACAGCCATAGAGCACTTGAGTTTCCTTTCTGGGGGTGAGGAGGCATGTGTAGTAGTAGTGATCCTCTAAGAGTAAGTGCAGGCTCTTCCCTTGGCAATAAAGGGCTTCTGTAAAGTTAAAGTATAGGAGTATAAACCCCACCTGACTACAAGAACATTGTCACTTTGGCTCTATGTGACAGTTAATGCTCCAGCTGGCCCATGTAGTGTTCATGAGTTAGTGCTGATTTCACAGGTCAAGCTGGTCATTTTGCTGGTCAAGAGTTTGAGAGTAGTAGGCTCTGCTTGCTTCCTGAGGGCTGTCAGGGAGCAGTGGATTTGATGGTGCATATGTTTACAGACAATTTGTCTCAGCACGTTTGTACAGAGCTTCCACTGAAAAGGTCTGGAGCTCCCTGGAGTCAAGACCAGACTTGGCTGAGGGAGCTTTGGCTGCCTTTATTGGAGGGGAAAAATGAGAGGCAGAAACAAACAGGGGCCGCCTAAAGATTGTGGCCTCACTCCCACCCGCTCTTGCACCCTTAGAAGTTGGGAAATAGGTGTGTTGTCTCAGCCTTCAGCCTATAAGACACTGTACAGGCCCAAGCTTGCCTCTGACATTTTTGGGCAGCTTCCTTTTAGTATGATCTGAAAATTGGGAAGTGCAGACTCAGCACTTCTTGGGAAACAAACATCTCTTTATTCTCTCCTAATAAAGCTCCAAGGCAGACATGTCCAGAAGCTATACAGACCCACTTGAAGGCCGAGTTTGGTGCTGGGGTTTTTCCCATGGCTGTTTCTGAAGAGTTACACAAATGGTGCAGAAATTGGAGGTCTTGTTATTTTTCATTGCCTTTTTATTAACATGTACTTTTTTTTTTTTGAGATGGAGTCTCACTCTGTTGCCAGGCTGGAGTGCAGTGGCGTGATCTCGGCTCACTGCAATCTCTGCCTCCCGGGTTCAAGCGATTCTTCTGCCTCAGCCTCCCAAGTAGCTGGGACTACAGGCGTGCACCACCATGCCTGGCTAATTTTTTTTTTTTTAGTAGAGATGGGGTTTCACCATGTTGGCCAGGATGGTCTTGATCTCCTGACCTCGTGATCCGCCCACCTCAGCCTCCCAAAGTGCTGGTATTAAACATGTACATTTTATTGGCCTATAACGTACATCTCTTTCTTGATTTTGATGCACATTTCCATTTTGAAAACTAAAATGGTTTAATCTCCCAGTGTCTCAATATTCCTGCACCAAGGATGGTTCTTAAAAGTTGTGGCCAAAAGGACTTTGATGACTTCTGGAAGAGGAGACAAATCAAAAGCTGTGTCCCTTCGTGAACCCAAAACTTTTTCAGTCCCTTGAATGTTATAAGTTGTTCTACAAGTACAGTAAGTCCTCACTTAATAACATCAATAGGTTCTTGGAAACTACAGTTTTAAGCAAAGCCAATTTTTTCCTCATCAACATCACAATGAAATGAAGTTGAAAACACTGATGTTATTTGGGGGCCTGCTATGTGTCATTTTACTTGAAATTGCAGTTTCTAAGAACCTGTCAATGATGTTACATGAGGACTTACTGTACTACATTAATCTGTCATATGTAAAACCGGAATTATCGATTCAAAACCTCAGATTTTGATGGATACTTGCCATGTTTATCACAAGTTGGATTGCTGTTCTTTACAACAAGGATCAAGAGACACAAGAGTTGCATGAACTTCGTGGCGTATTAGGCCTTGCGTTCCTAAGGTCACCCTAGTCCCAGATCCTCCCTCATCCCCAGCTTTGTCACTCAGCGTTCTTAGCAGCTGCCTGAGCCTTAGGTCTGGAGAGGGGGTGGTCAGATGAGGTGACAGCTTTGCTTCTCAGGGATGATAGCTGCCAGTTCTCCTGGCATGGATGTGACCCCTGTTTTGGGTAGGCCTGCTGCACGATGTTGTAGGATATGACCCCGCTATGCCCACAGTTTGATCCCATCTGAGTTCCTCGCAGCATTGAGAATGTTTTGGCCCTTGCAGAGATGCATTGTAAGGGCAGAACTAAAAATAGATGAATTTTTAATTGCAGAGTTTAGCCTATGCATACTGTGCCAGGAACACAGCAGAAGAGAGTGATTAAATTCAGAGACTGTCAAATCCCAGCCTAGATATGAAGACCCTATTTCCAAAGAGGCACAAGGTAGTGATTATCACTGTTAATGTTGGAATGATGGTCAAGGACCCCCAGAAAGAGCTGTTGTTTTCAGTCTTTCCTTTTGGTTATGTTTTTTGCATTTTTTGCCTCCCAGTTTCTCTGAAACCGAATTAACGATGGAGTCTCTACCAGGGCCGGATTGTGGGCTGTTGAGTGGGTTGGCCTCGAAAGCCATCAGGGAATAGACGGGCATTTGATGGGAGAGGGCCAAGCATTAAGTTACCCCAGGCTTGCTTTAGTGAAGACCCTCTTTTGTGAGTGAAACAAAGGTGGCTTTGATTGGTCAGTCTGTGGCTTGCACAGCATGCCTTTCTTTGGTCCTGCGCATCCCTCAGTGTTGCACGTGAAGGTGCTCAGGGCAAAAACCAGTATCTGGAGCTTGGAATGGCTGAGATTTTCTCAGGGCCTTCTCTGTCCATTTGCTTATTTTCTGCTCTGCTTGTAGTTCTGTCTCTGGGACATCGAGTGTATTTCTGTGATTGCAGGGATTCTTACGGCCTGGCCTAAGAGCTCCCTGACACCTAGGCCAAAAAGGAGAATGAGAGCTGGGAAGGTAAACCAGGATTCCCCTCCTGCACTGTACTCAGAGTCTGAGCTGGTCTGGATAGTTTTTGTGTCAAACCAGCCTATCTAACCCTCCTGTATCTTTAACAAATATCAGAGGGTGCTTAAGATGTTCTGAACATGGAGAAATAGAAAGAAGAAGGTGTGGTTTTACTCTGAAGGAGTGTACAGTCAGAAATAAAAAGCTTCAGTCTTAAAATTCTTGAAATGAGTCTACTTCAACTTCCCATTCCTTAGTAATCCTTGTGTCATTCTCTGAAAGGAGGTGTTCATCTTTTACTTGAATGCTTCCAGAGAAGAGAAGCTCACTAATGGGTATACTACACTTCTGGAAAATGTAGTTAGGAAATACTTCTTTATGTTGAGTCAAAATCTGCATCTCAGCCGGGTGCGGTGGCTCACGCCTGTAATCCCAGCACTGTGGGAGTCCAAGGCAGGTGGATCATTTGAGATCAGGAATTCGAGACCAGCCTGGCTAACATGGTGAAACCCCATCTCTACTAAAAAAAAAAAAAAAAAAAAAATACAAAAATTAGCCAGCCATGGTGATGCCCTCCTGTAATTCCAGCTGCCCTGGAGGCTGAGGCATGAGAATCACTTGAACCCAGGAGGTGGAGTTTGCAGTGAGCCGAGATTGTGTCACTGCACTCCAGCCTAGGTGATGGAGTGAGACTGTCAAAAAAACAAAAACCAAAAAACCCTGCATATATTTAACTTCCTGTATTTACTCATAACTCTGTCCTCTGCAACCATACTTTTTTATTCCCTTTTGTGTTGTTATAACTGAATATCTGAGACTGGGTAATTTATAAAGAGGAGTGATTTATTTAGCTCATGATTCTGCAGGCTGGGAAGTTTGAAAAGCATGATGCTGGTATCTTCTTGGCTTCCAGCAAGGGCTTTTATGCTGTGTCACAACGTGGCAGAAGGTCAAAGGGGAAGCAGACATGTATAAAGAGGCAAAACTTGAAGAGCGCGTCCTTCCTCATAACAACCTGCTGTCATGGGGACTAATCTATTCCTGCAAAATCCAATCTAATCTCAGTGCTGCGAGAAAGGCACCAAGCCATTCATGAGGGACCCACACCCATGACCCAAACACTTCCCACTAGGTCCCACCTCCCAGTGTCACCACACGGGGGGTCAAATTTCAACATGAGTTTTGGTGGGGACAAACCATATCCATAGCATGCACTGAAGGAGATTAGTCTTTCTCTACCATTACAGCTATCAGTTCTCATAGGAGTTACCTTGTTCTGAACTAAGACCCTTGTTTTTTTCTCTAGGTCCCTTCTAAGCACACAACCATATGTCAGGTCTTGATTGTTTTAGGATTTGAGATAGTAAACTATATCGTGGTAGGGATCTTGAAGTTTCCTTTGACAGTATGCAGAGGGAAGTTCTTTGAGTAAAAGGAAAGAATGCATGATTCAGCGTCCAAGTCTGTCTGTAGAAGTTACACATTTAAAGATTAATTAGTCAGTATTTTGTTATGGGCAAGGCATAGTTCTAGGACAGTAAGAGCTATTCTACCCTCAAGGAGTTAGCAGTCGAATCAGAGCCGCAAAGTATAGATGCAGATTAGAATTCCAATGAGGGAAATACAACAGGTCAAAAATACTATAAAATCAGACCAAGGGAAGGGTCCCTGTGGGTGTAGTTAAGGAAGCATCGCTAGTTGTTCTGGGCTGGAAGCCCGAACACCACTCGTGGATGCCTCAAGAGTGTGTGGTACTCTCAGCTTCCCTGGTGACTTGAAGATACCCTTTGGTCTTGATGGGGACTGTTCCTGTGACATGCCCGGCTGTCTGAAAGCAAAGGCCACCTTTTATAGATAAAATCAGCAGAGAAGTGTGAGTGTGTCCTGGGAGCCATCTCTTTGGTAAATAAAATTTGAAGACAGGATCATAATTCATGGTAAGGCTATGAACAGGATTTAGGACATACTGTCCTCTGTGCTGCTGCATTACCAGCGGTTCATGATATCTGTGGACGAATCAGAAAGGCCTTGTTGAAATGAGGGGACTAGGGAAGAACCAACTCTGGTATAAGGAGGCCTTTGGGAACATAAGGTGGTACCGAAAGGAGCCTTGGTTTTCTCAGCTCAGCTCTAGTTAGCTGCTGCTCAGCAGAAGCCCTGGTGCCCTCCAGCCTATTCATCAGCCTCTTCTCAGCCATATCCTGGCTGCTCTGTAGCCTCTGAGGGTGCTGACCACAGTCTCTCTCATTTTTTTAAGTTTTTGGCTTCTAGGCTCCTACGGGTCCACTAGCTTCAGTCTTTTTCCCTGGTGCCCCTCCCCTCCTTTGGCGTGAATGCTTTTTTGGCCCTCTAATCTTCTGTTTATCTCCCTGAGTGGTCTCTGCTTTCTGATGTCATCTGTCATCTGTACATTGAGGACACCGCAGCCACTCTCCTGGCTTTTAGACTTGTATGTTCACCTCCTAACTGGAAATCTTCGCCAATATGTGCATCAGGTTCCTCAAACATGGTATCTCCAAACCCAGACTGGTTTTCTTTCTTTAGTGAGCTTGGTTCTCTTATAATCATCTATCTTGGTTAAGTCTCCTTACCCCATCTTCTAAGCTGTGAATGTTTATGTTGTACTTGCTTGCTTTCTTCCTTACTGTCTGCACCCAGTCACCAAAACCTGCTGATTCTACTCATTAGTGTCTTTGGAATTTGCCCTTTTAGTGTCATAGTTCAGGCCCTTGTCATCTGTCATTGAGCTATTTACATAAGCTTTTTACCTGGATATCTCTTCTACCTCCTCTCCCACAAATCCCCACCCTCCAACCCCATCTGTTAGTTTTGTCTCCATGAGAACTTGGATGAGATCAGAGTTAGAATCTTCCTTCCCCAGTACCTCTGACCCCCACTAAGCCTCCCCTGCCCATAATTTAAAGTCCTTCCTTTTGGCCCTACCTCCTGCCACTTCTACCTTGCCCTCATCGCTGGACTACCATTTCTCTGAAATATTTACAGGCCAACTTAAGACTCTTAGCTCCTAAAGACCAGGAATTGCCTTCCTTATTTCTGTATCCTTAGCATCTGGAAAAACACCTGACATGTAAGCAAACAATGAATATCTGTTTGGATATATATTATTTATAGGAGTCTTGGCAGGGACTTTCTGATCCGGGCAGTTGGGGCTCAGAAAAGTGGGTCCCTGGCTCCTGGTGCCATTGCTGTCCTGTGGAAGCACTGAAAACATGGCTCTGATCTGGGACCCAGTGAAGGGCACTAGTGCTTTCAACCCCATCAGTTTTGCCTTTGATTCTGGCCTTAGCAGCATCTCATCAAGCATCCGTCCATGTTTGCAGGCACCCTCACCTGGTCTTTACCCTTTCTCTTGCATTTATGTTACATAACAATACAATGGGATTTATTGATATCTACATCAAAACCAGACTGTTATATCAAACTCCTGTTAGAATAGAGCTACTTGTTATCAATTTATATGTGCCATAGATTAAAGGCTTCCCCAGTTAGTTTTTGATTTAGTGAAATATTTTTTTAAATGGTTTTAATTTCTTGGCTATCAATTGCTGAATATAAAGAGATTTTCTGTGATTCTGTGATATATTTGTTTATGATTAGGTACATGTCCATTAATCCTTTTTTTTTCTTTTTTTCTTTTTGTGAGATGGAATCTCACTCTGTTGCCCAGGCTGTAGAGCAGTGACATGATCTTGCTCACTGCAACCTTCGCCTCCCAGGCTTAAGCGATCCTCCCACCTCAGCCTCCCAAGTAGCTGGGGTTACAGGTACCCACCACCATGCCTGGCTAATATTTGTATTTTTAGTAGAGGCGGGGTTTCACCATGTTGGCCAGACTGTTCTCAAACTCCTGACCTCAGGTGATCCACCCACCTCGGCCTCCCAAAGTGCTGGGATTACAGGCGTGAGCAGTCTGCCATATAGATAATTTCATAGACAAAGGAATAAAAATACTAGGTAATGAAGCCTTTCCTCCAGTGGATTTTACGTTCCTTTGGGGACAAATAGGAATGTCTCTGGAAAGTGCACTCTACTTGGAGTCTGGAAACTTGGGTTCTAATTATAGTCCTTTAGTTTTTTTGTACTTTAATATTTTCCTGATGTTAGCTGGGAATAATCATAATAGCTATAAATTGCCATTAAAAGTGTAAGAGATTTAAGTTATGTTTAGATTTACCCCTTTCTAATATTGGTACAGAGGGACTTTTACAAGGTGACATCAGACAGTTCGGCCAGACTTGTGAGCCTGTAATTTACAGGATCCTAATGTAGTCTTTGGAGAGCAGGTGGGGGAGTGAAATCGATTATACGGTTTGGTACACATGAAACTTCAGATGCAGAAAGACTGCATTGAAGATACAGCCTTCACACTGCAATGTCTAAGAATCCGTTTTACCAGGACACCAGCATGAATGTCAAAGGTACCACTTTAATGCCAGTTCTTTCTTTTAGTTTGAAAAAGAACTTCAGAGAATTTCGGAAGCCTATGAAAGTCTGGTCAAGTCTACCACCAAGCGAGAGTCATTGGACAAGGCGATGAGAAACAAATTGGAAGGCGAGATTAGAAGACTTCATGATTTCAACAGAGACCTCCGAGGCATGTTTATTCATGTTCTCTCTACCTAAACCACCTGTGTAGCTAAAAGCACAACTTTGGGGCCAGAATGCTTTGCCACAGGTGCTAGTCTGCCTGTTGTATATTTCAACCATCTGGGGAAGGGAGGAGGTGCTGAAAAAGCAGAATTGTTCTCTTCTGCCTTGTGGGTTGTATATTGCAGCATCGAGCTTTGGAAGTGACAGCCTGTATGCATGAGTCTGTCGAAGGAAGGGATTCTGTTTGTGGCTCCTTCTTGCTTTAAAAGTACTCAACCGCGATTCATGGCGGTGAGAATCTGAATGTTTGAAAAGATTGCCGGGCGCGGTGGCTCAAGCCTGTAATCCCAGCACTTTGGGAGGCCAAGACGGGTGGATCATGAGGTCAGGAGATCGAGACCAGAAACCCCGTCTCTACTAAAAAAATAAAAAAAAACTAGCCGGGCGTGGTGGCGGGCGCCTGTAGTCCCAGCTACTCGGGAGGCTGAGGCAGGAGAATGGCGTGAACCCGGGAGGCGGAGCTTGCAGTGAGCCGAGATCGCGCCACTCACTCCAGCCTGGGCGACAGAGCGAGACTCCGTCTCAAAAAAAAAAAAAAAAAAAAGAAAAGATCAATGTTAGACGCACAACCCTTTCCACATGGGGCTGTCATTTGGTAGCGTGCTTTGAAAAGTAGCACTTAACTATTGCTAGGTGGACCATAGAAGACAGAGCTAGACATATTTTCCCTCGGGGGGAAAAAATCCCCACAGTTGTGAAATAAGTAGACAATAAACTTGCTGAAAGATAGGAGTCACCTGCTGTTGGATTTTGGCCATCTCCAATGTGCACAATGAGTTAACCTATAAATGTTACTTTACCTTCAGCCAAGCCATTTTCAGTTGCTTCATATGTCAAAACACTCCATGTCCTGGTAGTACCCAGTAGCTAGATCCCACCTTTTCTCTTGCTACAAACTCTTTTGGGTTGGGTGTCATCTGCATCCAGTGAATACTAGTTGAGTTGGATTATTTATTGAATAATGAAAGATTTACCAAGTGGTTTGAGCAAACATAGAAGTTGCTGTGTACAGTCTTCGTACATTAGGTCATTTTGACTTTTTTTGGTATTTGTTATTTTTATTTCTTTGATTCTAAGATACAGAGAGCTGTCACTGGCTAAAATATATAGGTGATGATCAAGATTAGACTAGGGCTGGGTTTGAGGCCAAGGAGACTGTCTTTGTGAACACTTCAAATCGGGTTTGCTGGCCTTGAAGGCAGTGAGGTGGTTTTTCTCAGCACCTGTCCCTAGCTGCATGCTGCTGGTGCACGTCATTTGTCTTTAGATCGCATAAAGACACTGTGGCGTCTGAAGCCTTTTCTTTTGATATTTTGGGACATAGTTACTGTCTGTCCCCAAGTTGTTCAGTTTTGAGCTCCTGCCTGAGCATCTCTTCCTCCCCAGCTCTTGGCACCTATTTCATTTCTTGGTTAAATGATGACTTCAATCCATATACATTTCTTTGTAATCATTTCCTCTTTGTTCATAGATCGACTAGAGACTGCCAACAGGCAGCTCTCCAGCAGGGAATACGAAGGGCACGAAGACAAAGCTGCAGAGGGGCATTATGCTTCCCAGAGTGAGTTTCCACTTATTTATTTATCTCAAAGTTTGTTTGTTTAAAAACGAGGGCCTGAGGGAAGAATCATATTAGTTTCAAGTGGGTTTTGTGCTGTTTGCTTTTAGTTTGTTAATTTAGCATACAACCTATTGGCCTCAGATGAGGCCCTCCTAGGTCTACCCAAGACAAAGCTGAGGTCACTGTATGTTGCTTTAGTAATGTTTATTCTGTCCCTCTGACCTACAGTTTCTCTCTGTCTCTCTATAATACCCTTCAAGCAATAGCAACATCACAGCATGTCCTGGCACTCACTACTTCAGATAAGTTACAACCCTTTTTCTTCAGAAAATGGAAGGCGGCCTAGTGATGGGGTTTGGTTCTCTCTAGGGAGGTTTTGTCTTCATGTGAGTTGTGGAGTTCTAGACTGGCTGCCCCTTGCCAGTGTACAAGCTATCTGAGTGATCGCATTATATATCTCCATGTGTAACACTCATTTCCAGAAGTCACTGAGCCCATTTCAGCCAGGAATAACGAACAGTTGCTTTGTAAGCCTTGATTTATTGGGAGAATATTTTATTAATTTTAGGAGAGGCAAATGATAGAATCAAATGGATTTTGAGAAACCATTGGTCAAGGTTTGAATTCCTACAGATTCATTGCACTAGCCAGAAATTTTAAAATCCAACTGTCTTTTTCTGAAAATTGAATTCATATCTATATCATAATTCTCAATGAGATTGTGAGTAAGTGCTCACAAAGTTAAGACAATTTAGAACAACAAAAAGTAATGTATTCAGACACTAGCCGTCTGTCTTATGATAGTGGTCTTCTGACGTGTGGGTTCCTCAATGCAGCCCTGCATTTTAAAGACTGGAAAATAATTGGTTAAATTTTCTAATTTCAAATACTGTTTGGTTAGGTTTAACCTCCTGTGTGTCCCCCAGATTGATTCACGATTGCATTCTGGCTATTAATACTAGCTCTATTTTTTAAATTCAATTTTTTGCAAATGGACACTAATACTGTCTAGGGCTTTTGCCTGGGATACTTTTGTGGCCTCAGATGATTGGCCCATGTTCCAGATTCACATAAAAGACTGTATCGGCACTTTGAATTACTTGGTTTTGTAACAAAATTTATCTTATATCTCTTCCCGTGGGTGCAATAGATCTCACCTCGGTTTCATTTGAAAGGTGAATTGTCTTTACTACTTGCGTTTAGGATCGTGACACGTTCCTTCTGGATGACCGCATGCCTAGGTATAGTTAGTGTCTTTGGCAGGTATGTCAGCAATGCCAGTGTTGTGCACTCTGTGGATACTTTGCCTTCTTGTCAGGGGACATAATTTGATCACTTAGTTCAGGTCAAAATGGAAAAACCAGTCAGTTTCACCTCATGGGCATTGTTCTGGCCTCCCAGCCAAGGCTAGTATGGAATAATGGAGTAATAGGGTTTAGTGCTGCGTGAACTCAGAAATGTTCTTCAGAAAGACTTTAACCTTCTGGCTAAAAGCTGAAACATCAATTATCAAGCAAAGAGGCCCTTCCAGCTTGACAGGGAATTATTTGTTCTGTGCAAATATGCTCCACTGTGTTCTGAAGGCAAAAACAAGCGACCAGAGGCATTTTTCAACTGCTTAAAGGATCGCAGTGTCGATATGTAGTGTAATTGAATCGAGGCAGAGCATTTGAAGCAGGTTTGGTAATGGTGATACCTAACCATTTTTCTTACACCTAATCTTTGCAGGACACTTTGTGCCTTCACAGCTTTATAATTATTTACATTAGTTTTTCCTCTCCTAGTGTGGCCAAGAGATGGACTCAAGATGTTATTTCAAATTTATAGTTAGGTTGTTTTCTTAGTGAGTTGTAAAAATTCTTTTATTAAGTAAATTAGCATGTCCCCCACATATATATGTCACAGATATTTTCTCCAGTTGTTTTTAATCTTTATTCTTTGTTTTATAGAAGATGTTTTTAAGTGACTATATTTATGCCTTCTAGGTTTTCTGTCATGCTTAGAAATACTTGTTACCCTCCCAGGTTATAATAATATTCACCAATGTTTTCTTCAAATTGTGAGTATGATTTCATTGTTTCCAAGGCACATATTTAGGAAGCTAACTTGGGAGGCAGAACAGAGGAGAAATTCATGAGGGACTATCCTACAGGCAAGGAGACTAGTTAGCAGGTATTTCAGTACAGTATCTGGGGAGGAGATGGAGAGGTCATGAACTAAGCCAGTGGAAATAGCGAGGAAGAGTAGGGGACAGATAAACAAATGATAAATTAGTAGGACTTGGTTGACCAGTTGAATAATGGCAGTGAGAGAAAGGGATGTGACTGGAGCAGCTGGATGGATGATCACCCTTTACCAATAAAATGCAGCAGGAGGAGGTTGGGATTAGTTAATGACTTAAGGTTTGAACATATTCGTCATCTCACCTTGCAACCCAGAGCTCAGTGAACAGGTATAACAATAGGTGCAAAGATAGGCAGAAGGTTGGATGGTGCTCTCTGGCAGGCTTTCATTTAGCATGTGGGTACAGAATGGCAGGCATGAATTACTGCCTCTCTTCCTAGTTATTAATGTGTTCCATTATCTGTGTATTGGTTCAGAAACCCTATTGTTAGAATAAATTTCAAACCCCTAGTGATTATAATTATAAATATTGCCCACTTAAGGGACGCCATCCTTTTCAAGTGAGTTTTTTGGAATTCTAGCACTTGGTTAAAAGAAAGGCAAGACTGCAATAAAAGTTGTATCTCGGGCCGGGTGCCGTGGCTCACGCCTGTAATCCCAGCACTTTGGGAGGCCGAGGCGGGTGGATCATGAGGTCAGGAGATTGAGACCATCCTGGCTAACACGATGAAACCCTGTGTCTACTAAAAATACAGAAAATTAGCCGGGCGTGCTGGCGTGCCTGTAGTCCCAGCTACTCGGGAGGCTGAGGCAGGAGAATGGCATGAACCCAGGAAGCGGAGCTTGGAGTGAGCCAAGATCACGCCATTGCACTCCAGCCTGGGGGACAGAGCAAGACTCCGTCTCAAAAAAAAAAAAAAAGTTATATCTCAGGGTAATACATACCAAGAAGTCAAAGTTAGGTTGTGAAGCTCTTGCCAGCCACCTTGGCAATGGGAGAGTCAGAGGGAAGGGGGAAGTAGAGAATAACATGCTCAGCTTTTCTGCTAGGTGTTCACACAGAAGCTAGGCATCCAAGTCTAAGAACACTCAACCGACTCTTGCAGTTCAAGCAGCAGGTGGGACTTGAAAGATCTCCCAGTTAATGGAGGGAAGAAGTCCTTCCTGGCCAGATGTAAACATTTCCCTCTGCTCAGGGTAGGTTTCTTCTAAAAACTGAACTCTGCTCTTAAGTTGGAGTTTTATGAAGGCCTTGGTGGACTGCCTGGGTAATGACTACTTAATTCTAAAGACTGAAGTGGACATGAAACAGGCTCATTGTGTTCCTCCCAGTCATGAGATTTGTCTATACCAAAAATCTTGAGGAATTAAGTGCTTAGGAGCTTGATGCCCTTGAGGAATGTTTTTCCCCTGTCACCTCATGGTGTTGTAACATTCTCTTTGGAGGAATTCAACTTTTTGTTTGTCTGTGAATTTTCTGGTCTTGCTTGTTTGTTTTTCCACATGTTTTTATAGCTTATAGGATGGTGATGTCAAAGCCAAATTGCTCCTGAAAACCAGGGCCTCTAGCCCTCCTGTTTGGTCTGGCTGTGAGAAACTCGGGCTTCTTTGTGCCTCAACTTAACTAAGGTTCTCATTTTTCCCATTCATTTGTCACATACACACATGCACATCAGAGGCAGGTTACTGTCTGCTAAAGGCAGAACTCCTGGAAATACCTCTTACCATTCTTAGCTGTGTCTTCTCAGTCACAGAAACTTTTTGAAACTGTTTCTTTCTGAAAATGGATAGCTCTGCAGAATTCCCATCAGCTCTAGGCCGGAAAGCGAAAAATAAAACATTAGATGTGAAGAAACTGGTAGAAATGAAATTTCATTTTATTGGGGTTTTTAAATAGATATGTTGAAGCTTTGTCGTATTCTTGAATTGAGTGGGACCTGATTAGCTCTGGCATGTTTGTGTTATTCTGGAATAAACCCAAGTCATGTTTAAAGGTTGCACAAGAGCCTATCTCCACCGCTTTGGGATTTGCTGGGCGCTGCAGGTTCCACATATCTGGTTAAACTCAAGTTTGTATAAGTTAAGATTCTGGCTGTTAAATGATGCACCTCTCATCATTTAACAAGAAGATTTCTTGGACATTCAATGATTTGTTTAAAACAACATACTGAAGAGTCACGAGTGTAAATGAGTCAGAACTATATGCATTTGATTTCCCTTAAAATTCTTGTGGGTTTAAAAATTAACTGGAAAAAAATGTGTTGGACCATATTGTTTTAAAAATAATAATTTGCTGTTTTCAGTGTAGCCGGCAATCATCTTACCCTTGAATCTTATTTTAGCTATTTTTGTTTTCTGTCTCTTATAGAACCTAAAAAGAGACTAAAATAATTTCCTAAAAGAAAATCCCTCCTGGTTTTTGTATTTCTATAAGGTCTTGTGTGAACCACGAATCAGAAATTAAAATGACATAAACATTTATTCTGTTGACCCACATAGAGCATAAGGAGATTATTCTGAATCCTCATTAGGTTTCATTACATCAGATGCTGTGGGTTTCTATCAAGCATCATTAGGAAGGAAGGCTAGATGTTGTCACATGTGAACACACTGATTTACCGCCTCTCATGGGCCAACCAGCACTAGTGCTTGCAGCTCCTTCTGACTCTGGGCTCCTTGGGGCGAAGCTCCTGTTACAGCACTTACTCTGCAACCTGTAAGGTCATGATTTATTTGGGTGACACTCCACTAAATGGGAGAACTGTAGACTTTCATCCCCCACTAAAACCCCTTGCATCTTCATGTACCTGGCATCCAATTAATGTTTATTGAGAGAATGAATAAAAGTGGAAAATCCTAGTGACAATAGGCTTGAA